GTCTCAGGCAATCTATGCCTCCAGAAAGAATTTTCCAATGGCGTTATTTCCACCTCTTCGGCATTACAGGCAGGTCTGCTACCCTGAAGGTTAATGCGCATTCCCTTCCTCCTAGCTCGTGAGATAGACCATTTACCGCTGCATATAATGGTGGTCGATTGATGTATTAAGGTTATCCTTTCACTGAGGCCCAAGAGCTTCAGTTGTTATTGAACTTCACCTTCAAACAGTAATCTTGGTAGGTTGCGCGTACTTGCAGTCAAATTCATCTGCGCTTTATTTCAAGGGGGTTGGTTTTAACGGTGTGGGTTTGTTTATCGTCAGTATTAGTGAAGTTAAGGTCATGAGGATTAGAAAGAGGTCTCGATTTAGCGTAGGCAGATGCCAGAATAGCTAAACCCTCTGATTCTTGTCCGTCACGGCGAAGGTCTAACAACGTGACAAGTATAATAGCCATAGTGTCTCTGCTAATATCTGCCTCGAAACAGATTTTTGCAATTTCATTATTTCCATTTCCAGACCATTGCAGCCGGGCTCACTGACCATGGGAAATAATAAGTATCCAATTCCTCCAAATTCATGAGACAAAGCGTTTATGTTCTAAAAATAGATAGCCATATAGAAGAGTGGTTGGTATCAGATGCATGCTCCCTGAGCTTGACAATTTAAGCTTTTGTTAGCGCAGGCTCTAGTAAACAGGGAAATCACACAGAAGGCGATGTGGGATCGCAGCTCTTGCTTTCACGAGCAGTTCCACACCAGTCGTACCATTCTTATGGCGTTGTTCAACGAACTAATTTTAGGCTGTCGGACATTTCTGCTGGGTTTGCAGGGCAGGCATCTTCTGTTCAATAGCATACAACTGGATGCTGTTACTCACCATAGTAACAGCCCAGGTACGAGCTAAAGGACGCACACACGTGTTCCGCCTGTATTCTGCCGCTGCTTGACACGGCTCATCAATGTGTCCCCTATTCGCTTTCTGTTTGATATACCGGTTTTGGAAGTTCACCTTTCTAATTTCCTTGGAAATTAATTTGTAATCACGGTATACATCAGCAGCGGTATATGCACAGTAAGTTAACATGACTGAAGATACGAGGTCCAGATAAACTATCCCATTCCCCAAACAAGATGAAGAAACCAAGGCACCTTCATGGACCACACTGTATTGGTGCTGACGTTTCGAAAACATGC